GTAGTCGGAAACCTTTTTCAAGTGACGGACCGGTAAAGCTTGGCCAAACTTTTGGCGGACCACCTTTATACAAACGACCTAAGCCTATGCAATAAATTATACGCATTAGGAAATTTATGTTGAAAATATACTAAAAACGACGGTGATGCTATTTAATGTGATGTCTGTATTTGTTTGATGGCCATTAACCGTCCCATATTCGAGATATGGTCGACATCGACACACGTAACGTGTTTCTTACTTCCAGCCTATTTCGTTTTTGTAGTTATCAATATTGAAAACCAGGCCTCACATTAAGATTTCGGGAAGTTAACAATGCCTGTATCGTTTTGTTGGGGAGATCATATTCGAACTGATGAGAGACATTCTTATACGGGCGTAGAGAAAACAATTGACCCAGCATTATTGCGACATACTGACATGGCAATTGTTTATGAAATCAGATATGTTGCTCAATAGTGTGACGCAGTGGTCGGCAAACTTCATGTACTTGCGGGTCAAATATAAACATTCGTGGTAGCGCGCGGGCCGCAATATTTCCGCCTTCGAACAATCGCTACCATAATTAAACTTCAAATTATGGCGCATTCGCATTGCTACCCTTCTATTGCTGTGTTGAAAGCCTGTCCCAATGAGATGTATATGTGGCGTTTTTATTATTATCCAACAATACATTGTTTTTATGTATTTATTAACAGTGTGAAAGATGATGTTTTTAAGGCAACTCGTCGTCCAAATGATGATCTGACAAGCGAGTACGAAATTTAATCTAAGTGTAATGCATTTTGGATAAAGATGCTCAAGGCCATATGTTCTTCCGAACGTGCACATTGCACTATCGCACAGATGAGCTGTGGCGCAGTCTCAGGGTCAAATTTTCGACGACTCGTTTCGTAACGAGTTTATCATTGAAACCCTTAACAAACTACGATGCTGACTGGGCATATCGAGCAACCGGTGTTTTGGAATACGCAAGAAAAAAAAATATTTTTCCGTTCAAGCACTCTGGAATGCTCGACCCGCGTCGCTCTGTTTTTCAGACATTTTCAAGTTTTAAAAATCAAAATTAACTCGAACGACATACAACTGACTCTACTTGTTACATAAGAAGCGCCGTACAGCAGCACTTGTCACCACATAAATCCGTGTAGAGACAATAATAAATTTGGGATTAATTTTTGTTTTATATATTAAATGTCGAGTTGTTCAAGGGCCGCAACAAATTAGCTTGCGGGCCGCATTTTTTTCCGACCCCTGGTGTTGTGTTTGTCTGGTTTACTGTTGGGTGCTGTTTTTTAGTCGTAGGGTTTGTGGTTAGATTGTAGAGGTTTTATTACGGTCTTGTCCGTTTTTTGTGTCACCTCTCTGCGGATTAAAATGATTACAAATAAATTAATAATAAAGCAAGGCGATGAATATTCTTTTTCATTTACTTATATACTTTAAGTATATTTTTATTAAGTACTGAATCAAGTTGTACTTTCTGGAAATTTATAACAGATAGTGAGATTTTTCTAACGACGATAACAAATTCGCAAAATCGCAAAAATATGTAACAAAACTAAATATAATCGGGCAATATATTCTCACATTATTATGTTTGTAGATTGCCGATTGGCATTTTAAAGAAGAAATGCTTTCATCTTGTCGTAAGTCGACGCAACCGCGAGTTACCATGAACACAATTAAATTAATATAGAAAGCCATTGGATTGAATATTGTAAGACAGAAAGCCAATTATACACTAAAAAAGTCGGCTCCTTTTAACGAACGCGTAATTGCGGCGAATTTGCGAATTTGAAATTCGTTACAATTCAGTTGTATTTGATTTCATTGCTTCTTCGCACAGGTTGCAATAAACGCACTTTGAGTCCGCAAAGGTTTTCGCGGGTGAGAAAATAGTCCACGACCAAAAAAGGTTGGAAAACGCTGATTTAATGAAATGATTGGTCAGTTTGGAAAGACAATTCAGGCCTCAATATCGGTCTGGTTGAGATAATGTTTGCTTGTTTTTCTTTTCCAAAAATCATCTTAAACCTCGCTATAAATGCTTGTAGAACTATTTCGAAAAAATATCATGTAAATTGAATTGACCTTTAATCAATAATGAAGTCTGGAACTTGCTTATTCAATTTCAGATAACAGGGAACACTAGTTTCATTCCTATTATTGGTATGTATTATATATAGGGTTACCAAAAACCTAGAGGCAATGATACTGCCTTGGTTGTATCAACAATATATTCCCAGCTAATCAGTGGGTATTCTATCAAGAACATTCAAGTAAAGATGGCTATATTGTGTAATTAATGGCATTTTACTGTTTTTTAGATACAAGTTACAATGTAAGGCGACTATTCAGCATTCAGCAATATTTGCGAAAAACGCTCTGCGTATTTCTACTTCCAAATATTCGTTCTCAATATAGCTAGTCGTTTCCAATTTTCTAAAATAAGCAGAGTTTTTGCAAAAACATCTCACAAATTATGAATGTTTAAGGAAATAAAATTAGTGTAAATTACTGCTCGAAACGTTCCGCGAATTTTTTTCCAAAGTGATTGTTCTCGTTAGCTAATTGTTTCTAATTTTCTGAAAAAAGCCGAGGTTTTGCAAAAATAGCTCACAAATTATGCATGTTTTATAAAATAAAATAAGTGCAATGAACTGCTTGAAACGTTCTGCGAATTTCTACCTCCGAAATAATCGTTCTCTCTAGCTAGCCTTAAGCCGAGGCGCAAAAATTGGTCACAAATTATGATTATTTTAGTAAATGAAATTACGTGTTAAGTACCGCTTGAAACGTTCCGCGAATTTCCATTTCCGCAACTATTGTTCTCGTTAGCTAGACTCGCGCCAAAATTTTGCAAAAGCAGCCTCAAATTATGATTATTTCTGAAAATGAAATAATTCGCTTCATCAATTCAACCTATTGACCCGCATTAATTTTGCTCCTTTTCAATGGTTAAGAAATGGCCTAGCTTAATACTAATGGTTAGAAACATATTCTTATATTTATGTTTTCCATTTATAATCATTTATTTTCTCAATGCTGTTATAAAGCGTCAGTTTAATTACTTTTCATATTTGATTTCACTGTGGGTATTAGTTTAAAGTGATGACCGTACATTTGAAACCACGTACATTTGAACCATGTACATTTAAACCCATGTGTATATCCGCGGGTTCAATCTAGATGCGGCTGCTAAAACCCATGGGTTAGGGTCACGGTTTCAAATATCCGTAAAACAAAAAAATTTTCATAGGTGCAATAGTATGCAGGTGCATTTGTCGTGGGTTCAGATGTACGTGGTTCAAATGTACGTGGGTTCAAATGTAATGGAACCGTTTAAAATACAGTGAGAGATTCTATTTAATCTTGCTCTATTAGTTTCACAGATTCTTAGGCGTTCAATAATGCAAGGATGTTGCAGCCAGGGATGAATTAACCAGTAAGCAAACTAGGAACTTGCCTATGGCACCAAGGAAATGGGGCACCGCAGGAATTTTCATATACACTTTTCGATAGTGCCTCAGTGTTTAATGAAAAGATTGGTCAGCTTTGAAAGACGACTAACCAACTATTGGACCTTGATCATTCAAAACCCATCCCACGCGGATTAAATGAAAGTGGCTTGAACAAAACAAGTTTAATAAGAGATATTTGTGTTCGCCAGCGAGGAAATTTGATGCTCACACAGTTCTGGTTCTTATAAGATCTAATGTTAGAATAGTCTTGTTTTATCCGCATGGGATCATATTCGAATGACTGAGGTTTATTTGATTCAACCTAAGTGAGATGGAAGGCATGGGATTATGATAGTTAATTCCGACACTTCAACCACGAGCCATTTCGCGCCCTATCGGCATGTAAGTGGTCGCTAAAGTCTTTTTTACCGATAGCTACTACACAACAAATACAATAAACTTATTGCGCTCTTTGGTTGAATTAAATGATAATTTTAATCATTATAATTTGTAATTCCTTATTATTGTGCAAAACAAAAATCGATCCCAAGGATCTCATTCTTGAACAACACGGTCTAACCTCTTCTTTACCATCAGGCTGTGATAACACTCCATTCCATATTGCGATTCCCAATATCGTCTGTGTTTTACTTCGTTTACAAACGAATCCTTCATTGACGGTATCATCACCGCCTACCCAACTGGCGTCATTCTGCTATAGACAAAAGAAAATATGGCTGATCGTGGAATGAAATTAGGGTGGCCACACGTCGATCGTCGCGTCTCGAGTAGTCGATCGCGTCAGATGTTTAGTGGATTTGATAACAAATCTGAAAAAATTGATTCGAACCAAGTTAGTTTAATGCAGCGCATCTTTTGAATTTCAAAATGGGAATGATACAGTAGCGTGCACGCGCAAAATACGATATAACAAAAATATAGTACGTGATCCCGTGCGAGGCCGGAAAATAATAAATAATCGTAAATGTGCGCTGCAAGAGAACGTATGAAATAATCGTGTAATAGAACCAAACTGGGACAAGTCTGTACTCCCCCACGTAGCTCGACGTTAACTAGTGACAAGCTTTGGTTTAGGTCATTTACAAATAACTGGATGTAACCGTGGGCCGCACCTTCACTTAACGTAGACTTTCTATTAGTTGCAGACACGACAATTTTGGTTATTGATCCTGTGACATGCCTTGTTCGCTTTCACTAGCTCATATAGAACCATTGCGACGCAAAGGAATTGAAATTGCTCGTAAATACTAAATTAAATTCAAAACCATCGATGAACTAATTTTCAGGAAAGTTATTGTACAAAATGGCGACCAATTCCCCTTAACAATCTCGGTTTAAAGTTAAAATCGTTATATTCAATCACGGTGCCCTATTTAGGGGTTATGGCAATGGTGTAGAATGGGTGAATTGGTGTTCATAAATATTACATACGCAGAAAACTGGGGTGGACAACCTAGGTCTTTGAGTTGCGATTGGAAGCAGAGAGAATTATAGCTTTATCCTACATACCTTCAAATACGTCATATTGTGGATGTCCAAATTACTTAGTCTTAGGCAATTGAAAATTTACACAGAAATAATCCGTGTGCTCAACGTGATCAGCGAAATATTAACATCTTCTGGCGTTGATTGATCGAAGAGTTCTTGAGTGTCCATAAGAAATACAGACAGCTGAAAATTTGAATAATGGTTTACATGTAAATCGTAATTTTGCTGTAAAAATAATTTAATTGTTAATAAAAGAAAACGTTGTTACGTAATTGGGAACTTTTGTTTGTGTATGACTACACTGTTAAAAAAATTAGTAAATATATATACTAATTTTTCTAGTAAATTTTTACTAATTTTTCGTTGAATTTTACTTTCTACAAGAGTATTTTATTGAAATCACGTGACTTGCTTAGCTGAGTCAATCAGGGTGCTTGTTTGTTAATAGTTTACTAATGAATAGTAATTTCACTGATCAGTTAGTAATTAATATAACAGAAAAATAGTAAAAAGATTAGTATACTTGGAAAAAGTGAAAAAATCTAAGATCCTCTAATTTACGAGTAATTATTCTTTCCAATAAACGAATTTAAATACCTACGCATGCGATATAGTCACGAAGCAAATTTAAATACTCCTTTAGAATTTCATCTAAATTTTGCTCTGGGTATTAATTTGAATTAATTTTATTCTAAAATTATTTTGGTTCATCACCCAAAAATTCTGATTGTTTTGCTATTGCATTAGACAAGATAAGATATTGTTTTTACATATTATTTTTCCGGAAGTAAGCGGACCTATTTGTCCAAATATTCATCCGCAAAAACTCCACGAGGCAGGTTGCGTGCGCAGCATTTTTGATTTCGAGTTTCCTTGTGCCACCCATCTCGGCTGGGACGCTAAGCTGTTTGGGAGCTCAGCATCGGTTGCGTGCGTATGAAAACTGAATGCGGTACGTATGTTAAGTATGCAATAGCGTGAGTTTGATGATTGTATTAGCAACGGTAAGTGCGGATTTACCACGGGTAGTGGTCTGATTATTGAGGTACCGGTACTGGTACTTTTGCAGAGATCAAAGTTTCCTATATTTTAATCCTTCTCTTTACCGTCATAGGTCATTTAGTACCGGTAATGTGCCAATTATGACATCACTCAAATGTCACGTGCCTGTAGCCCGCGCTTTTTCTGGTTCAGGAATTAGGGGTATAAGCGAGGCTCTTTGTCGTTAGTGGATGTTTATTTTAGGCGGTTGGTTTTTGTAGCTTTTCATGCGTTAATTGAGCATGTTTGTGTTACAGTAGTAGACTTGTAGTTGGTAGACCAAAATATTCTTTAAATACCGTGTACATCAGGTAACACGGTAGCGACTGCTGAGACTTTTTACGTCATCGCTGAACGAGAAGTGGTGTGTTCCTGTAGATCGTTTTTTGAAGCGGTAGCTTTTCAGTTTGCTTCGTTCTATGTTTTCAACATAGAATATCCAAAGAAGGCCTTGCTGACGTTTGATTTTATTCAGAGGTAAGAAAAAATGTGCCAGTCTACAGTGCTGATATAATTCTTGCTGTTGGCACAATGTACACGTTGTTGACGAATTACCTGTTACTTCTGTCATGTAGTGTTATTTGATGACATACAATACAAAAAATGGGTTATGAAAATGAAATATGTGACTGGACTTGCACAAACTCATGGTGTCCATACCCTGGGGGACTGGGCCATAAGTAGGGCTGGGAATAATTTAATTAGTTAAACAGTTTTTAGGTGGTTAATAATAGTCATGATTTATTTTAACCATTCATCGGTACGGTACCGATTAATGGTTAAAATAAATCATGACTGACTGGCGGTACCACACATGTTTCCTCCTAATCTAATAAGTTTTACATCCATATGTGAAAAATGAACTCACAACAATCCTATTTTAGTGAACTTCAGTTTTAAACGATGTCACTGTGCTCTCCATTCTGTAGCAGGAAATTTTTGATATATTTGCAAAAAATCATTACTAATGACAGAAATTAATACAATATTTTTCAATTGCTGCATTTGCAATCGAATGTCAACGAGCGGATGAGCCTATTGCGATTTGCGACAACTGGGGGCTAGGAGGAACTGGAGCTTTCTGGTTTGGCAATTGCATTCCTGGCCCACTGACAGTTTTTTGTTTATCCCTTGGCAAGGCACGATACATTATAAATACCTGACATTTTTACTATTTTTGTCCAGTGTTTGTGTTTTTACTATTTTGGTGGTGAGATGACAGGACGTTTTCCAAATTTCATATGTGAAACCTATTCGCCATTTAAGTTCGGCCTTTTTTTCAGGTTCTTCGGTGACATAAACCCCAGAGGCACTAAGTCGAAATAAAGTAAAGGCAAAGACGTTCATGCAAAAGTAATCGGCCTTGCAAGAAGAGTGAATCTACCACAGGCGTTATATGTGCCGTTGTTAGAAATTGATGTTTAAGTAAACTTTGGTGGTGTTACTGCAGCTTACATCACTTTTGACCAGGGGTGAAAACTCGATCAAATTTTCACATGCCTTTGATTGAGTTTCTCAAGTTCGAGTTCATTACCCTGGTCAGGGGTTTGAGTTCATGTATTTGATGGAGTTTTCTCGAAAATCGAGTTCGCAGCCCTGCTTTTGGCTGATCGATTAATTTGATAAAAAATGATTTAGCTGTGTGTTGGGTGTGAAGTCTGGATAATTTTAAACAAACTCTGCTCCGTGATCTTCTTCAACCACAAAATTTCTGGCTTCCACTCATGACTATCAACTCCCACATTTGCAAATATATGACTCCGTCTCCTGCTCAAGACTCCTTCAAAATATGAATTAAAACTCTTGACTCCCTGATCTTTTAAAATTTGACTGCTGCTATGCTAGCTGCTTTAGTGTAACTTTTTGTCCAGTTTTATCAATTTTAACATTTTCGAATTTGCAACTTCTGCAAACTCTGCTCCTAGCTCATGAGCTTTAAAAATGTCCAGTCAAACTCTATTCATAAGTGTGGATAAACTCCGACTATGATTAACTCTATAGACTCTGCAAGCTTCAAAATTTAGAACTCCCACTCATGCTCCTACCAAAATCCTCAAACTCCCGCTCTTCGACTTCACGGCCCTTGAAATCTTATCTTGCATAATTAACTTTAGAATTTGTCATCTTTGAAACTCTTGCCATAGCTACAAAATAGGTTGCATGATATTTCCCAAAATTTTCATTTTGAAACATTATAATTAGAGTAAAGTGCAAAAAATCGTGAAATTCTTACAATAGTCTCGTTATTATGTCACGTTTGCCAGCGTCTCATAGCCTGGTATCCAGAAATTTGATTTCAAAATGAGTTTGTCAACTAAACAACCCAGTCCTAACACGTTTTCTTGTTTGACTTTATTTGGATCTATTGAGATAAATGAATAGATCTCGAAATGTATAGACCAGATTTCTAACAAGTGCCGATAGAAACTCAATTTTGATCCATTACATACAGAATTCCTATGTCCTACAAGAACTTGTGCCCTCATTTTATTGCATGGATAGCCTTCAACGTCTCCTAATAGGTGTTTAAATTTGACTGTAGACCATATATTTTCTGAAATTTCTTTCGAAACTGTTTTACAAGCCTTAAAGGCATTTAGTGTGTATTTATGGTTTTATAAAAATATCAATTGTAATAAAATGATTTTCGTTTCCAGAATCTCGTTTTTTTATTTTAACTGTAATATTCTGTGTGTTTACTGTTGTTTCGTGCCAGTAAATAGCTTTGCTACTCTCGTAATGGTTTGGTCATCGCGAGTGAGAAATTACCATCATGCTAGTATTGTATGGTACTACTGTCGGGTAAGGTAGCTGCCATCGAGATAGTAATTTTATTTACTATTTTAAGGTAAAAAATATTACTACTGGTGGGTAGGTTTACTGCCGTCAAAAAAGTAGTATTTTTTACAGTTTTATAGTAATTTTTGCTACCATCAATCTCTGTAAATTTACTGAAAATACTGTTCATAATACTACTGATATGGCCTGTAAATTTTTTTACATGGGCCTGTACTTTTGCTGCCATTTTTTTTTAGTAAATTTGGAAAAAAATTTTTAACAGTGTAGATTCCCATTGCATAATCAGGTGCCGGCTTTGTTGCGTACAAATTATACCTGACTGTGCCAGAGGTCAAAGCAGAATACTTTATTACCGACAGGCGATAATATAGCAATAATATGGCAAATTTTCTCGTAGTCTGGAGAATGATAACAGGTTGCGCGCCAATTTATATCAGTAGACATATACGTTTTCCATGTTACTGTCAGTCATGTGTAGCATACGCCAAACTCTAAAATATCTGCTAAGCGTTAGAAATACGTTTGCCACCGTATCTCTGGATTTGTATGTTAGAATATCGTGGGTGATATTTATGTGCAAGAGGGTATCTGACTTGCTACCGTAGGTTGGTTCCCGTGGCCGTGGCCAAAATTTTATCGTTGGCTGTGTTAATTCGACTTGTTCAATTTCGTGTCAACTGCTATTTACTAATAAGCCCGCGAGAACATTTAAGGCTCTGTGTAAAGCTCTCAGCGCGAAGAATCAATATATTTTAGGAGGGCTTGGAAGATTTTTGTTCTTTCGCATTATCCAACTATTGGACTTTAGTCATTCAAAACTCATCCCACACGGATAAAATAAAAGTGACATGAGCAAAACAATTTTAACAAGATATCTTATGGGGAAAGTGTTCACCAGAACAGAAATTTGATGCTCATATAGTTATGGTGCTTATAATGTTCCTATAAGATCTGATGTTAAAATAGTTTTGTCTTATCCGAATAGGATTGGATTTGAATGACAGAAGTTTATTCGATCCATTTGAGGAGGAAGGCATGTCATGTCAACAGATAAGGCGGCCTAACCATATCGAGATGTAGAGTCGCTCATACTGTGACCAGACCACGTTGGAAATGAGAATTTGAAACTAAAGTAGATGGGACATGCAACATCGCCTTCCCAATCATAAAGAAATAACTCACCATCATAGCTCGGTGATATCTTAGAATGAAATTGAGTAAAAACGATTCCCAGTTCTCATTCGTCCAGCTATTGATATGATTGACAGGGGCGATCACCGATATCAGGTCTAGAGCATCAGGGTCTATTCTCATTTTGTCATCTTTCTTCCTTGTTATCAAAGTACTGGGTAACTTTTCCATCTACAAAAAATTATGGAAGTTATTAATGCATGATGTTGAATAGTAATTGTACTTTTCCTTATGCAGTCATTATTGCTAATAATCAAGCCATATTTTAACAAACTAGACTTATTCATAACTGTTCTGAAAAAAACATCATAAATGTGTTTTTTCATTCGAGAGCGGAAAAGTTTTTACAATAAAGCTGTAGTTACGTCTGTGGTCATAAAACATTATATAAACAATTCACTTCAAAATTTAAAAAAATTTATTTTACGGCTTGGGTCATACATGTAAGCTGGTACTTCCGAAGCATCTGAACTAAGATGGCGAACAACGGAACGTAGTATGTGTACCATGTTAGGGTTTGATGGTAGTACCGGCAGTCTGACCACCAGATCAGTGAGATGTGATCACGGAACCGCGTCAAGCTATTTTTAATTTTGATGACGTTTGATGACGTTTTGATGAGACCAAGCTTCGAAGTAAAAAACCGAAACCCATTGTATCCACTGAAAGTTATAGTAATGGCAACAACAATCTGTAACCACAAGAAAATCGAAACAATTGATCCAGTTATCAATGAGGAAAGAGATTTTTCCACAACAACAACATACCAACAAAATGATACATAGGTCCAGTTCGCGTCCATAATAGCAATAACAACTGTTTTAAACGAGACACCAAAACGCCTGAATATAGTTTATTTAAGACGTCATGGTGTCCCAAAAAAAAATGAATACCAATCTTGTGGTTTCGTTCATTCTGGGATATCCTGTACATCAAATTCTTGTTATTAATCCGGCACTGTAAATGCCGAATGTGACATTTACAGTGACTCGCAAATTCGTACATCTTATTGTCAAGATCATTTCGCTCCATTCTTGGTCGATTCATAGATAACGCGATGATTTTTAGACTCGCTAATAATAATCCTTTATCTATATACTGAACCAAACCAGATAGAGGAAATTTCGCGCTTTCATAGCCTGGATAATATCGAAATCGAAGCAAGTCTGTGGAGAGATTCTTTGATATATTGTTAGATATCAGTGGCTGCTTTCATCAGGATTATTACGAGCAAAAGACGCGATTAAGTGTCGTATTAAGGCATATTAAATCAAAATTTGTTTCTCCCGTCAAAAAAAATAGGGGTTGGCTTACAGTCACTGTTTTACGTAAATGTATGGCATGGAATGTTTGTGTGCCCAAATCTGTATATCAGCGATTAAAATAAATTGTAACCGTCAATAGCAACCGCGGAACTATTTGAAAATATTGAATTTACGGCAAAATGTTTAACGACTGTATCTTTTTAACAGTACTATTGAAAAGCGTCAGAAGTATACATCTGTAGTATTTTACGTTACATCAATACTGTTAAAAAGCGTCGTTTGTTAAACGTTTAAATAGTCTTTCACCGTTACTTCAAAACGGTTAATATTCGATTTCACTGAAGGTATTAGTTTGGGTTAGGGTCAGGGTTAACAATTAAACAAAATAAGCACTTGCTTAGGGCACCAAGGAAAGGGACAACGCAGTAATTTTCGTAGACGATTTTCAATATTGCCTCAGAGTTCAATACAGTGTTTCCCAACCCGAGTCCGCGGTCTCAAATGAGTCAGCGGAGCGTTTGAATGAGTCCGCAACGAGCCAGAAATTCGGGCGAGCCGCAAACGATTTTGCGGAACTTAACTATCAGCCAATTTACGTTAGGATTTACATAAAACATGAAAAGCAAGTTTATTCTCATAACATTTATCGAGTCAATAGTTACTGGTTGCTAAGTAGGGCTGGGCATATATTCGAATATTAAACTATTAGAACAACAATTTAATATTCGAAAATTTGGTTAACAGGTGACGCGACAGGTCACTTGCACTTGTGCGCGTCGCTTAGTCAAACGATTGGATTTCACAACTCACTCACGAATTTTCGACGAAAACACACAAGTCGGCACACGCGTCGATAGATGGTGGCAACCCGAATTTTCCAAATTGAAAAGCGGGAATACAAAACACTAAAAATAAAACAGAGAACACCATAAGTTTCGTTTTATGATGGTCCGCGACCGATTAAAAATGCTTTTTTATACATTGCAAAACGCAAAATTTCAGGTGCTACCGTAGTAAACGTACCAGAGCATTCTCCCTTAGTATTGCTTGCTTTACTGCCTCAACATTGATACGCCGTACAGTACTGGTAAGTGTTGTACAAACAGCTCAGATTTGTGGAATTCACAAAAATAGGAATTAAAACAAAATATAATCGGGCACATTACCACGCATTTTTGTGTCCACGGATTGTCATGATATTTTCTGAGTAGTATTGCTTTTATTTCGCCAACAAAATCGGAGATAAAAATGATCACAAATAAATTAATAATGAAGCAAGGCGATGAATATTCTTTTTTCATTTACCTATATACTTTAAATATATTTTTATTAATTAAGTACTGAATCAAGTTGTACTTTCTGGAAATTTATAACAGATAGTGAGATTTTTCTAACGACGATAACAAATTCGCAAAATCGCAAAAATATGTAACAAAACTAAATATAATCGGGCAATATATTCTCACATTATTATGTTCGTAGATTGTCGATTGGCATTTTAAAGAAGAAATGCTTTCATCTTGTCATAAGTCGACGCAACCGCGAGTTACCATGAACACAATTAAATAAATAAAGCCATTGGATTGAATATTGTAAGACAGAAAGCCAATTATACACTAAAAAAGTCGGCTCCTTTTAACGAACGCGTAATTGCGGCGAATTTCTGATTTTGAAATTCGTTACAATTCAGTTGTATTTGATTTTATTGCTTCTTCGCACAGGTTGCAATAAACGCACTTTGAGTCCGCAAAGGTTTTCGCGGGTGAGAATATAGTCTGCGACCAAAAAAGGTTGGGAAACGCTGGTTTAATGAAATGATTGGTCAGTCTGGAAAGACAATTCAGGGTCAATATTGGTCTGGTTGAGATAATGTTTGCTTGTTTTTCTTTTCCAAAAATCATCTTAAACCTCGCTATGAATGTTTGTAGAACTATTTCGAAAAAATATCATGTAAATTGAATTAACCTTTAATCAGTAATGAAGTCTGAAACTTGCTTATTCAATTTCAGATAACAGGGAACACTAGTTTCATTCCTATTATTAGTATGTATTATATAAAGGGTGTACCGAAAACCTAGAGGCAATGATACTGCCTTGGTTGTATCAACAATATATTCCCAGCTAATCAGTGGGTATTCTATCAAGACCATTCAAGTAAAGATGGCTATATTGTGTAATTAATGGCATTTTACTGTTTTTTAGTTTCAAGTTACAATGTAAGGCGACTATTCAGCATTCAGCAATATTTGCGAAAAACGCTCTGCGTATTTCTACTTCCAAATAATCGTTCTCAATATAGCTAGTCGTTTCCAATTTTCTAAAATAATCAGAGTTTTTGCAAAAACATCTCACAAATTATGAATGTTTTAGGAAATAAAATTAGTGTAAAGTACTGCTCGAAACGTTCCGCGAATTTTTTTCCAAAGTGATTGTTCTCGTTAGCTAATTGTTTCTAATTTTCTGAAAAAAGCCGAGGTTTTGCAAAAATAGCTCACAAATTATGCATGTTTTATAAAATAAAATAAGTGCAATGAACTGCTTGAAACGTTCTGCGAATTTCTACATCCGAAACAATCGTTTTCTCTAGCTAGCCTTAAGCCGAGGCGCAAAAATTGGTCACAAATTATGATTATTTTAGTAAATGAAATTACGTGTTAAGTACCGCTTGAAACGTTCCACGAATTTCCATTTCCGCAACTATTGTTCTCGTTAGCTAGAATCGCGCCAAAATTTTGCAACAGCAGCCTCAAATTATGATTATTTCTGAAATAATTCGCTTTATTCAATTCAACCTATTGACCCGCATTAATTTTGCTTCATTTCAATGGTTAAGAAATGGCCTAGCTTAATACTAATGGTTAGAAACATATTCTTATATTTATGTTTTCCATTTATAATCATTTATTTTCTCAATGCTGTTATAAAGCGTCAGTTTAATTACTTTTCATATTTGATTTCACTGTGGGTATTAGTTTAAAGTGATGACCGTACATTTGAACCCACGTACATTTGAACCATGTACATTTGAACCCATGTGTATATCCGCGGGTTCAATCTAAATGCGGCTGCTAAAACCCATGGGTTAGGGTCACGGGTTCAGATATCCGTAAAACAAAAAAAATTTCATAGGTGCATTAGTATGCAGATGCAATTGTCGTGGGTTCAGATGTACGTGGTTTAAATGTAATGGAACCGTTCAAAATACAGTGAGAGATTCTATTTAATCTTGCTCTATTAGTTTCACAGATTCTTAGGCGTTTAATAATGCAAGGATGTTGCAGCCAGGGATGAAATAACCAGTAAGCAAACTAGGAACTTGCCTATGGCACCAAGGAAATGGGGCACCGCAGGAATTTTCATGGACACTTTTCAATAGTGCCTCAGTGTTTAATGAAAAGATTGGTCAGCTTTGAAAGACGACTAACCAACTATTGGACCTTGATCATTCAAAACCCATCCCACGCGGATTAAATGAAAGTGGCTTGAACAAAACAAGTCCAATAAGAGATATTTGTGTTCGCCAGCGAGGAAATTTGATGCTCATACAGTTCTGGTTCTTATAAGATCTAATGTTAGAATAGTCTTGTTTTATCCGCATGGGATCATATTCGAATGACTGAGGTTTATTTGATACAACCTAAGTGAGATGGAAGGCATGGGATTATGATAGTTAATTCCGACACTTCAACCACGAGCCATTTCGCGCCCTATCGGCATGTAAGTGGTCGCTAAAGTCTTTTTTACCGATAGCTACTACACAACAAATACAATAAACTTATTGCGCTCTTTGGTTGAATTAAATGATAATTTTAATCATTATAATTTGTAATTCCTTATTATTGTGGGAAACAAAATCGATCCCAAGGATCTCATTCTTGAACAACACGGTCTAACCTCGTCTTTACCATCAGGCTGTGATAACACTTCATTCCATATTGCGATTCCCAATATCGTCTGTGTTTTACTTCGTTTACAAACGAATCCTTCATTGACGGTTTCATCACCGCCTACCCAACTGGCGTCATTCTGCTATAGACAAGAGAAAATATGGTTGATCGTAGAATGAAACTAGGGTGGCCACACGTCGATCGTCGCGTCTCGAGTAGTCAATCGCGTCAGATGTTTAGTGAATTTGATAACAAATCTAAAAAAATGGTTCGAATCAAGTTTCATGCAGTGCATGTTTTGTATTTTAATTAACGTGAGCAGCGAAATATTAACATCTTCTGGCGCTGATTGATCAAAGAGTCCTTGAGTGTCCATAAGAAGAACAGTCAGCTGAAAATTTGAATATGGGTTTACATGTAAATCGTAATTTTGCTGTGAAATAATTAATTGTTAATAAAAGAAAACGTTGTTACGTATTTGGGAACTTTTGTTTGTGTATGACTAGATTCCCATTGCATAATCAGGTGTCGGCTTTGTTGCGTACAAATTATACCTGACTGTGCGCGAGGTCAAAGCAGAATACTTTATTACCGACAGGCGATAAGTGTCGACAAATTACTCGTAGTCTGGGGAATGATAACAAGTTGCGCGCCAATTCATATCAGTAGACATAAACGTGTTCCATGTTACTGTCAGTCATGTATCGTATACGCCCAAGTCTCAGATTTCTGCTAAGCGTTAGAAGTACGTTTTCCACCGCATCTCTGAATTTGCATGTTAGAATATCGTGGGTGATAATTATGTGCAAGAAGATGTCTGACTTGCCACCGTAGGTAGGGTGGTTCCCGTGGCCGCTTATCGGTTACAGCTCCCTCTTCTACCAATTTCATGCATCTGAAACACATAAATGACTGGCTGATTAATTCCACAACCGACATGGACTAGTGGCCGGTCGAGAAGCCGAGGTATGCCATATAAATAAGTCGTCTTATTGGATTTTCTCTCCACGTGGTAAATATATAAATCCTATCCTATCCTACTACACAAAATACCATTTGCATTTTCCTAGGTTACAAAATTTTATCGTTGGCTGTGTTAACTCGACTTGTTCAATTTCGTGTCAACTGCTATTTACTGATAAGCTCGCGAGAACATTTAAGGCTCTGTGTAAAGCTCTCAGCGCGAAGAATCAATATATTTTAGGAGGCTTGGAAGATTTTTGTTCTTACGCATTATCTAACTATTGGACCTTAGTCATTCAAAACTCATCCCACACGGATAAAATAAAAGTGATATAAACAAGAAAACTTTTAACAAGATATCTTATGGGGAAAGTGTTCACCAGAAAAGAAATTTGATGCTCATATAGTTATGATGCTCATAATGTTCCTAAAAGATCTGATGTTAAAATAGTTTTATCCGAATGGGATTGGATTTGAATGACAGAAGTTTATTCGATCCATTTGAGGAGGAAGGCATGTCATGTCAACAGATAAGGCGGCCTGACCATATCGAGATGTAGAGTCGCTCATACTGTGACCAGACCACGTTGGAAACGAGAATTTGAAACTCGAGTAGATGGAATATACATCATCGCCTTCCCAATCATAAAAAAATAACTCACCATCATAGCTCGGTGATATCTCTTATATTGAAATTGAGTAAAAACGATTTCCAGTTCTTATTCGTCCAGGTATCGATATGATTGACAGGGGCGATCACCGATCGCAGGTCTAGAGCACCATCGTCTATTCTCATTTTGTCATCTTTCCTTCCTGTTATCAGAGTACTCGGTAAATTTTCCAACTAAAAAAATTTTTAAATTTGTTAATGCAAGATATTGAATAGTATTCGTACTTTTCCTTATGCAGTAATTATTGCTAATAATCAAGCCATATTTAAACAAATCCAGACTTATTTATACTTGTTTTAAAAGAAGCATTAGTTTTTAAGCTATAAATGTGTTTTTCCATTCGTAATGACAACAAAACAACTGTTTTAAACCAGGCGCCAAAACGCTTAATTATAGTTTTTTAACGCATGGTGTTCCAAAAGAAATTGATACCAATCTTGTGGGTTTCGTTTATTTTGTGGGTTTCGTTTATTTGAAAAGCTATTTTGTGGCATTTACAGTGTCTCCCAAGTTCGTACGTCTTCTTGTCAACATCACTTTGATCTGTTATAGGTCGATTCATAGATAATCCGATGTTTTAAGACTCGCTAATAATAATCCTTTATCTACTCGTATATACTAAACCAATCGAGATAGATGAAAATTCGCGCTTTCATAGCCTGGATAATATCGAAATCGAAGCAAGTCTGTGGAGAGATTCTTTGATATATTGCTAGTGGCGCTTTTATCAGGGTTATTAGGAGCAAAAGATGCGATTAAGTATCGTATTAAGCCATGTTAAATCAAAATTTGCTTCTCCCCCCAAAACAAAATTTAGAGGTTGGCTTACAGTCACTGTTTCACGTAAATGTATGGCACGGAATATTAGTGTGCCCAAATCTGACTGTATATCAGCGATTAAAAATGTTTTTACGTCAAACGTTTAAATAGTATTTCACCGTTACCTCAACACCGTCTAAAAGTATCGTTTGTTTAACGTTTAAATAGCATTTCACCGTAACTTCAATACTGTTAATATTCGATTTCCCTGAAGGTTTAGATTTGGGTTACAACGAGAGAATGACTTTATCTAGTCTTGCTTTATTAGACTGACGGATTTGTAGTCGTTTACTAATGCAAGCATTTCGAAACCGAGGGTTAATTAACCATTAAGCAATATAAGCACTTGCCTAGAGAACAAAGAAAGGGGGCAGTGCATAAATTTTTTTGAAAGATTTTATATAGGGCATCAGTGTTTAATGAAATGATTGGTCAGCTTGGTTAGTCGATTCAGACCTCAATATTTGCCGGTTGAGATAAATTTTGCTTGATTATATTACCCAAATATCACCTTAACCCTTTCTATAAATGTTTGTAGAACTATTATAAAAAAAATATCATGTAAATTAAATTAGCCTTCAACAGTAAGGAATTTTGAAACTTGCTTTTTCAAATTTAGTTAACACGAAACATTAGTTACATTAATATTATTAGTATGTTTTATATATAGGGCACCAAAGTCCTAGAGGCAATGATCAGGGTTTGGTTGTATTGACAATATGTCTCCAGCTAATCAGTGGTCAAGACCATTCAAGTAAAAAGGACTTTATATATATATATAACAGTATATACACAGATATACAGTGTAATCAATAGCGTTTTACTGTGTATTAGTTACAGTGTAGAGCACAGCCGACTATCAAAAATACAGAAATATTTGGGAAAACGTTCTGCGTATTTCTACTCCCAAACAAATGTTCTCTAGCTAGCTAGCCATTTCCAATTTTCAAAAATAAGCAGAGTTTTTGCAAAAACAGCTCACAAATTATGAATGTTTTAGGAAATAAAATAAGTGTAAAATACTGCTCTAAACGTTCCGCGAATTTTACCTCCAAAACAACTGTCCTCGCTAGCTAGTCGTTTCCTATTTTCTAAAATAAGCCAAGTCTTTGCGAAAACATTCCACAAATTATGAATATTTTAGTAAATGAAATTAAGTGTAAAGTACTGCTTGAAACGTTCCGCGAATTTCCATTTCCGCAACTATTGTTCTCGTTAGCTAGACTCGCGCCAAAATTTTGCAAAAGCAGCCTCAAATTATGATTATTTCTGAAAATGAAATAATTCGCTTTATTCAATTCAACCTTTTGACCCGCATTAATTTTGCTTCATTTCAATGGTTAAGAAATGGCCTAGCTTAATACTAATGGTTAGAAACATATTCTTATATTTATGTTTTCCATTTATAATCATTTATTTTCTCAATGCTGTTATAAAGCGTCAGTTTAATTACTTTTCATATTTGATTTCACTGTGGGTATTAGTTTAAAGTGATGACCGTACATTCGAACCCACGTACATTTGAACCATGTACATATGAACCCATGTGTATATCCGCGGGTTCAATCTAAATGCGGCTGCTAAAACCCATGGGTTAGGGTCACGGGTTCAGATATCCGTGAAACAAAAAAATTTCATAGGTGCATTAGTATGCAGGTGCACTTGCCGTGGGTTCAGATGTACGTGGTTCAAATGTAATGGAACCGTTTAAAATACAGTGAGAGAATCTATTTAATCTTGCTCTATTAGTTTCACAGATTCTTAGGCGTTCAATAATGCAAGGATGTTGCAGCCAGGGATGAATTAACCAGTAAGCAAACTAGGAACTTGCCTATGGCACCAAGGAAATGGGGCACCGCAGAAATTTTCATATACACTTTTCGATAGTGCCTCAGTGTTTAATGGAAAGATTGGTCAGCTTTGAAAGACGACTAACCAACTATTGGACCTTGATCATTCAAAACCCATCCCACGCGGATTAAATGGAAGTGGCTTGAACAAAACAAGTTTAATAAGAGATATTTGTGTTTGCCAGCGAGGAAATTTGGTGCTCATACAGTTCTGGTTCTTATAAGATCTAAAGTTAGAATAGTCTTGTTTTATCCGCATGGGAATATATTCGAATGACTGAGGTTTATTTAATACAACCTAAGTGAGATGGAAGGCATGGGATTATGATAGTTAATTCCGACACTTCAACCACGAGCCTTTTCGCGCCCTATCGGCATGTAAGTGGTCGCTAAAGTCTTTTTTACCGATAGCTACTACACAACAAATACAATAAACTTATAGCGCTCTTTGGTTGAATTAAATGATAATTTTAATCAATATAATTTGTAATTCCTTATTATTGTGGGAAACAAAAATCGATCCCAAGGATCTCATCCTTGAACAACACGGTCTTACCTCTTCTTTACCACCAGGCTGTGATAACACTTCATTCCATATTGCGATTCCCAATATCGTCTGTGTTTTACTTCGTTCACAAACGAATCCTTCATTGACGGTTTCATCACAGCCTACCCAACTGGCGTCATTCTGCTATAGACAAGAGAAAATATGGTTGATCGTTAGAATGAAACTAGGGTGGCCACACGTCGATCGTCGCGTCTCGAGTAGTCAATCGCGTCAGATGTTAAGTGAATTTGATAACAAATCTAAAAAAAATGGTTCGAATCATGTTTCATGCAGTGCATGTTTGTATTTTAATTAACGTGAGCAGCGAAATATTAA